GGCTGCCAAAAAAAGAACATGATCTTTTAAAGCAGTTTAGTGTTCTAGATAAGGAAGGTAATAAATAGTTCCACTGCTCTGCTTGGAGGCATATTGTGCCTGTTCCATAAAAGAGTAATCAAATGGAGAGTGGTCTGGATACCATGTCATTAGGGATGACCAAATTTCTTTAGTTTCTATGTTCCCAGTTTAGTCCCAGAATGAAGAGACTAATGAGAAACATAACAGATATCTCAATTTATTTGAAAGGCTGTTCGGTGAAATAGCAGAGCAAATTGTATTGGATTATTTTAGGCAGTATAGGCTAAAAGTTACAGGAAGGTAGATTTTGGTTTCATTGGGAGCTGGAAGAATGGAAGTTGGCTGAGAGGAAGTGTTTTGACAGGCTTAAAGAGCTAACTGTCAGATAGGAAAGGGTTTCCCTATGGGATAAGTCGTTGAACTAGGGTTATCATTGTTTCCTTAATTTTTAAACTTTATGAATCTGCCAAATGGTGTTACAAGAAAACTTTGTATAACCAAAAGATTTCTTCGTACCTACAGATGTTCCAATTACTAATCCAGTACTTGCCCCATGACCAATTCTAGAGCCTCCAGATTTTGTTACTGCTTCAAAACAAAACTTAGAAAAAGAATTATACCCTATACTTAAAGTAAGTTTCTTTTTCAGAATGATGTTCTCTAACAGGCATCCAAGTCCCTGGGGATGAGGAAAATGTTTGAAATGTTTGGGAATTTAAATGTTGTGAGAATTTGTTTTCAGCAAACAATTAGGAAAGCCTTTTCTTAACTCCAAATGCTGAAAAAAAAGTATTTTGTTTTTCTAGACATTGAAATTAAAAATTTTTAACTTTTATTCTTGTTTTAAATAGGGAAAATACTAAAAGCAGCCAAACAGAAGAAAAGCAATCCTACTCCGATTACCAATAATTCCTGAACATGTCACCCAGAAAAATACATCCTGAGTGGTCTTTCTTATCTGAAAAAAAAGACATTTTATTTTATTTTATTTTTTTTATATTCAAGATTTTTATTTTCTTTTTTTTTTAATTAATTTATTTACTTTTTAAATACATTTGTCTCTGCCTTCCCCCCACCTCTTTCCCTTGCCCCCTCCCACCTTCCCTCCCTCAGCTCTTCCCCTTTGGTTTTGTCCATGAGTCCTTGCTATATGTTCCTTGACTTTCCCCTTCCCTTCCCTTTCCCTGCCCCCCCCTTCCCTCTTGTCTCTGTTGATTTCTTTTCCTTTCAGTGTTGCTGGTCATATTTGCCTTGCTTCTTTGCATTGTTGGTTAGGTTCCGCTTATAGGTGAGATCATATGGTATTTGTCTTTCGCCCCCTGGCTTATTTCGCTTAGCATGATGCTCTCCAGTTCCATCCATGCTGTCGCAAAGTTTAGTACTTCTTTTTTTCTTTCTGCTGCGTAGTATTCCATTGTGTATATGTACCATAATTTTGAAAAAAAAAGAGACATTTTAATTGAAAACATTTTTTTACTAGGTGTGGCAATCATTCAAGAAAAATCTTAGTGAAAGTATAGTTTTATTTTATCTTTTATAAGAATTCTATAAACAAAGTGTTAGAAAGCCTTAATGTGTTAAACGTTTGCTTTGCTCTCTCTGTCTAGAAGTTTATAACATTCAGCATTGATTGAGAATTTTTGCTATGTACTTGTGATAGGCCTGTGACATACAGGGATTTGGAAGGTGGAGTTCCTACCATCACAGGGCTGAAAATTTTGTTGAAGTGGCTAGATGTACACATTTAGAGGTAACAAATGTTATCTGGCAGAGGTATAGGTACTTAATGAGTGCCTCCCTCAATAAGTGCTATATTGGAATGACAGGGGAGAGAAATTTTCCTAGGCTGATCAGTGAAGTATTCAGGAGATGGGCCTTAAGCTAAATGGACCTTGAGAAATAGCTAAGGTGGGATGGGGATGGAGGGATAGAGTGTCAGTGGTAAGATCAGTGGAGAGGGCAATTCAGGTATCAACACCCAGATGTTCTGTCCAAATCAATCAACAGTATAAAGATAACATTTCAAAATGTTAGTTCTTCACACTAAGACATATAGTGACAAAGATACACATATATTTAGTAGTATCCAGGAGTGTTAGGCAGTTTTTAGCTAAGAGCCTTCATTTGGGGGAAAAATTTAAAAGAAGGCAAAGCTTTGTTTTTTGTTTTGTTTTAGTAGTAAAGTGAAACTGAGCAAATCTTAAGGGTAAATTTAAAAGAAATTTTTATTTCTATTTGGTTAAGGAGAATGAGCATTGAACTCTAGGAGTTAGGATACCTAAGTTCTGTTCCTGAATGATATTAATTGCTTATTTGATCTTGGTCAAGGCAGTTTATTTCTTTCCTGTGACTCGTTTTTCTCGTCTGTACAATGAGGGACTTGAACCAGAAGATCCTGTAGGTTTCTGCCTCTCTTCAGGTTTGACTCTTAAGTTTCTCATGTTCTTGAAAATACTCCTGAAAAACATGAACTAGTTCTACGCCTTCCATAATTACGTGGGGCAGAAGGTTTTTATTTTGCATATAACACTAAATATAAATATTTTTTTTCTACTTAGTACTGTTTGAAGAAAAGAACTAGTTATAGTAATTGCCAGACAAATGGAAAAAACAAGTCGTTTTTCTGTGAGTACCCTAGAGAACTTGGAGTTAGAGTACTAGAAGTTGTGTTTTTTTAAAAAAAAGGTTTTAGTAAAATATTTTAAATTTTATGATAAAAAATTATCCCCTTAATATGAAATCACTATAAGGATATTATTCATATTAGGTGAGCAAACATACAAACTGATTCCATGAAAATATGCTAAAATCTCACTACCCACCACTATTAACATTTTGGTATATATTCCTTTTGTTTTTTTCCCCCATGTAAATATATGTAATAATTAAACAAAATGAGACTTGATACATATTGCTTTGTAACCTACTTACTGAATTGTATTTTATTAATGCCTTTCCATATTAGTAAATAAACATCTGTATCAGTTTCTTTTCTAACTTTTTATTTTGAACTTATTTTAGACTTACAGAAACCTTGAAATAATAGCATAAACAGTTCTTTTATATCTCTCATGCCTGTATCCATTAATATTAGCATCTTATATAACTTTATTGCAATTATTAGGGACAGGAAGTTAATATTGATAAAAACTAAACTATAGACCTTACTTGAATTTTGCCAATTTTCTCACTATGTCCTTTTTCTGTTCCAAGATCTTATTTAGGATCCCACATTGCGTTTAGTTATTTTCCCTTTGTCTCTTCCAGTCTGTAAGTGTCTCAGCTTCTTCATAGTCTCAGTTTGTAACAGTGTCTTGATTTTTCCTTGTTTTTCATGATCTTGACACTCTTGAAGAGTATTGAGCAGTTATTTTGTGCAATGTTCCTTAATTTGAATTTGATGTTTTTTCATGATTGGAATGATGCTATGTATTTTGGGGAAAATACCACAAAAATGGTACTATGTTTTGCTCAGTGTATGATATTAAGGGATTCTTCATATCAACATAGCTTATTATTAGTGATATTTGTCTTAACCAATTGGTTAACTTTGTATTTGCAGGGTCTTTATACTTTATACTTACTCTCATTTCCCTTTCTATTTAGTAATTATAATCAGGGAGATACTTTGCAACTATTTGGCATCATTTGAAATGGACATAGCATATCTTAGCGATTTTAAGAGTTTTTTTTTCTTAATTGCAAAAGTATTGACACTTGTTATATTGTTTAAGTCAAGCAATATAAAATTGTTTAAAATAAAATAGGAAAATTCCTAGACCCTCCTCCAGTTTCTTCTCTCCATGTAACCGCTGTTAATTGTTTGATGTTTTTCCTTCTAGATCTTTATTCTATGTTTAGGAAAGCATATGTATAGATGTACATGTACATATGTTGAAAACTCAAATTTGTAGAAAATTTGAAAGTATATATAATATAGATTTTTTTAACAAAAATGAAATTGTTATGTAAAAATTGCACTTTCCAATCTATAGTATTTTATAGCATTCTGACTGTACAGAATTGTATGGATGTACCTTTATTGATAACCATTTAGGTCGACTTCATTTTTCACTGTTACAAGTGGCATTGCAGTGAACATACTGGAATATATATCTTTGCACAATTGGGCATGTATGATAAATGATAGATTCTATGATTTTTAAAACTATTTCCCTAATGATGGGCATTGCTTTTAGCTTTTTGCTGTTATGAATAATTTTGTGCATGAAATGTGTAGACTGAAAAGCTTTAAAATGATTTTCAATAGATTCCATATCTATTTGTGATACAGATTTTAACATATTTCACATAAAGTCTTACATATATTGGTAGATATAGTAAAAAAGGATATACAGTGAAAAGTAAATCCTTTCCAGGGCCCTCTACATTGTTAACATTTTATTTTTAATCCTTTCAGAGATTTTTCTATTCAAATGTAAGCAAATACAGATATATCTCCTCTCCTCTCCTCCCTCCTCCCTTTATAAATGATAGCATACTATACACACTGTTCTGTACCTTTTCTTTACTATTTAACAATATAGTTTTAAGAAAGTCCCGTATCAGTGCTTGTAGGCCTGTGTCCTCCCCTTTTTATAATGGCTGCATTGAATTTATATACCATGATTTAGTCAACTCTTGTGTAACATTTAGGTTGTTTCCAGTCATTTACTATTATAGATAATGCAGCAAATAAAATACTTGTATATATTTCTTTTTATACATTAATGAATAAATTCTAGAAGTGGGAATTTCTGGGTCAAAGGATATATAAATATAAATTCTTAACAACTATCTCAAAATTGCCCTTCAGAGAAGATGGTCTAATTTAATTACTACAACAATACCTAATTTTAACATAATATTTTACATAAAGTTTTATTAAGATGAACTTATTTATGCAGGTATATTGAGCTTCAAGAGATCAAATTCAGAAAGCTTTATATATAAACAAATATCTGTAACTTTCCTTAGTTATCTGTTATGGAACCTTATGTAAATTCTTTTTTTTTCTCCAGAGTTGCTCCTCTCCGTGGAAATCTTTAGTAAAAGGCAAAAGATTTATACAATCTGAAGAGAAACCAGAGTATCTTATGTAAATTCTTAATTCTAATTATATGTCATCTTATAAAACTCCTTGGACAAATTGTATGAGTTTTTCATAGCTAAATAGAATTCTAATTCCTTTTCTTTGCCCTGAAAATTGTTTTTAGCACTTCAGGGGGCACCTGCTAGTTTTCTCTAAGATACAGTGAACAAGTGTCTGTTTACCTTATTAAAACTCTTTATAATTTTATAAACTTTTTGTAATTTTATAAACATTGCCTAGCCATTGTTTTTACAGAATGAAGAGTTCTAATTTTTCATCCCTAATACTTTCTTGGTAATGTTTTTGCCAAGGCAACACTTTGCAATAGTCTGAACAGTCTAACAGCTTGGGACAAGGGTGTACCTGTGCCAAAAGGGCCAGTGCCTTAGCTACAAGATAGCTTGTGAGTTGGTGCCCAATGTCTTATTGGCAAGTTGGGCTAGTGTATGATTAAGTATACTTCTTAGTTGCCTTGTATTTCTATGTAAATTCTTAGAAAGGTGTGCAGTGAGATAGATTCAAGAAGTAGAGACATGTTCATTTGAAAATATATCTATTCCAAAATTTCATCTTCATTATTTGGTTATGTGAAAAATTTGAAAACTGCATAAGGAGTAGCATGAAGAACATCAGAAGGTTTTAATTCCGATTAAGTTTAATTATCCATTTTTTTTCATCCTTAGTACTTTTTGTGTTCTGTCCACGAAATCTTGGCCTGCTCCAAGGATGTCAAGAGTTTTCTCCTGTGTTTTCTTCAAGAAGTGTCATAGTTTTAGCTTTTATATTTAGGTCTATGACCTATTTCAACTTAAGTTTTGTATATGGTGTAGAGTATGAGTTAAAGTTCATTTTTTTTCCCCTACAAGGGTACCTAATTGCTCCTCCACCATTTTTTGAAAATATTGTCTTTTTGTCTTTGGTTTGTTTTGGCTCCTTTTCAAAAATCAGTTAACTATATATATACAAGGGGGGACCCACCCCAAAAACTGGAATTATCTTCTGGAGGGCAAGCCCTTGTAGTATAGCTGTCCCCACTAGGTGAGTGTTCTAGGAACCCATCTGTATCAGTGTACCATCTGGTGTTGTTATGAGAGGCTGTGTTCAGCTTCAGTGAATTTTTTTCTGAAGACTTTTTCAGCATGTTTGCCCTTTTCATGATGGGCACCTACCCACCCCATGCTGATTGTTCAGCAGTTTTTGACCAAAAATGCCATGATCCCGATGCCCCACACTCCCTATTCACCTGATCTTACCCTGAACCACTTTTTTTTTGTTTGTTTCCCTGGATGAAAAATGTCCTCATACGAAAACATTTTGCCCATGTGGAAGAGGTGAAACAAAAAACGGCAGAAGCACTAAAAGGCATCAAAATCGATGAGTTCAAAAACTGTTTTTGGCCAGTGGAAAAATGTCTGCTAGGTGAATTGTATCAAATGGAGAGTACTTTATAGGCGATTGAAGTTTAAACATGTAAGAATAAATACACAACTTTTTATAAATAAACTCTGGTATTCTTTGGGTTCCCCTTCATATGTGTGGATTAATTTTTGAATTCTTCTGTTCATTGATAAATGTTTATCTTAATGTTAATTAGTATAGCTTTATAGAAAACCCTGAAATCAGGTAGTGTAAGTCTCTTCTAAGTCCTTTACATTTTCATATTCATTTTAGAATCTATTTATCAGTTTCTATAAAAATCTTGTTAGGATTATATGGAATCTGTAGATTACTTTGGGAAGAATAGATATCTTAATATTGAATCTTATCATCAGTGAATATGACATATAGCTCTTCATTTATTTGAATATTTTAGAAATTTTATGTAGTTTTCAGTATAGCAGTCTTATACATCTTTTATTAAATTAATGTCCATATATTTGTTTTTTGATGCAGTTATAAATGCTAATTTTTAAATTTTATTTTCTAATTTTTTTGTTGCTAGTATATAGAAATACAGTTGCTTTTTATATATGGATCCTATATCTAGTGAGCTTGCTCGATTCACTTACAACTTTTTTTTTGAATTTTTAGAGAGAGAGACAGAGACATCAATTTGTTGTTCCACTTATTTATGCATTCATTTATGTGCCCTGACAAGAGGTAGAACCTACAACCTTAGCATATCAGGTTGATATGCTACCTGGCCAGGGCTCACTAACAATTTTTGTGTATTTTTAAAAAAATCAATTCCTTGAGCCCTGGCTGGTTTGGCTCAGTGGATTGAGTGCCGGCCTGCAAGCCAAATGGTCACCAGTTTGATTCCCAGTCAGGGCACATGCCTGGGTTGTGGACTAAGCCCCCAGTGAGGGGTGCTTGAAGGCAACCACACATGGATGTTTCTCTCTTTCTGCCTACCTTTCCCTTTCTGTAAATGTTATATTTTTTAAAATAATTTAAAAAATACTTAAGTTAATTTTTTGAGATTTTTCTATGAAGATAATATCATTTGTCATATCATTTGTGAATAGAGACAGTTTTATGTCTTCCCTTCCAATCATCATGCCTTTTATAATTTTTTTGTCTTATTACACTAGCTAGGCTCTATATTACAATACTGAATAGGAGATGATATATATTCAGACATTATTGCAAATATTTTCTCTCAATCTGTGGCTCTCCTTTTCATATTTTAAACTGTGTCCTTTTTTTTATCTAATTTAAAAATTTACTTAAAGTGATCTGGCCCAGTGGCTCAGTTGGTCGGGGCACATTCCTAGGATGTGGGTTTGATTCCTGGTCAGGTGTGTGTGGGAGGCATTTGATCAATGTTTCTCTCTCACATCAATGTCTCTCTCTCTCTCTCCCTCTTTCTCCTCCTCCCTCCCCCCTTTCTCTCTCTCAAAAATCAATAATTAAAAATATATATCCTTGGTGAGGATTTAAACAATTTGCATAAAGTAAATAACTTTTTATTGTATAGTTCTATGAGTTTTGACAGTTGCCAACAAGTATGTAAACATCATCATAGTACAGATACAGAACAGTTTCATTGCCCTCAAAAATTCCATCACTGTCTTTTTGTAGTCAACATCTGGAAACCACTCTGTTGTCCTCCATCTCTATAGTAAGTTTTGCCTTTTCCAGAATGTCATATAGGTGGAATCATATAATACATAGCCCTTAGAAAAATTTTTTAAAAATTTAGAATATAACTTAAATGTGTAAAAATATAAAATTAGGTATAAATACCTTATAGATTTTATGTAACTGTAAAACAAACAATATACTAATAAAACCAGAAAGCCAACCTGTTTCAAATGAACAATATTAATTTAATTGCAACTCAATTGCCAATGCTGGGTGATAGATAGTTATGCCCTCAATCCTCTTCATTTCCCTGCTTCAGTTCACTTAAGCCTGCTGTGACTGCATGGCTCTAGAAATGCTGGGCTGGTTGGATAGTTTGTGTTAATTAGAACTCACATGTAAGCCCAAATTGCCAGCAAGTAATCCCTGAATGTCTTTTTTAGTGGGGGATTTCTTGATATTTGGAAAGCTGTTTTGTTTGATTGAAGATAAGGGTGTAATGGTGATCTTACTGAAATCTGCAGATGTCAGTTAAACCCACTTATTATGAAATCAGCTGTTTGGCACAGAAGATGGGCTTTGTTAAATTCACATAGATGCTTTTAACATGAATTTTGTCCCAACTGCTAAGAGATAGTACATAATTTTTTGAGTTTGACTACTTTTGATGCATTTTTGATGTTGCAGGTATTGCATGCAATTTGATATTGTATTTATTCCGTTTATTGCTGAGTAGTATTCCTTGGTTTGGATGTATTATAGTTTATAATTCACCATTTCCAGTTTAGTTTTTGGTAGACACCCAGGAATTTGCCTGCTGGGTCATATGGGAAGTGTGTGTTTTAACTTTGTAAGAAACTGCTAAACTGTTTATGAAGTGACTATACCATTTTGAATTCCTACCACACTTTCCTTTTCCAGTTTTCTGCATTCTTGTTGATACTTGGTATTGCTAGTTTTTATTTTATTTTATTTTTTGCCTACATTCTAATAGGTTGTGTAGGGTAATCTTACTGTAATTTTAATTTACATTTTCTTAATGGCTAATAATGTTGAGCATGTTTTCATGTACAAGTAAGTGTGGCACATAAGCCACCTGTATTAGTTTCTTTTGAAGAGAAGGTTTTAATTTTTCTTCTTCTTTTTTTCTTTCATGGTTAGTCCTTTTTGTGTTCTGAAAACTCTTTGGTACTCATTCATTTTGCCCTCTCATTAAATGCATGGCTCCTTAAAACAAACTAAGAGTATGGGAAAGGCTTTGTCTGTATAGCCTCTAACTGGTAATAGAATCACCTTCATACACTAAAAGTTGGCCATTCCAGAAGGGAAGGATAATTCTCACCTACCACAGTTGCTGTTCTTTATTCTAGATACCTATGGTATATGTGGGCAATCACTTATTTCCAACGCTTTTTATTTTTTTGAAGATTTTATTTTTTTATTTTTAGAGAGAAGGGAAGGGTGGGAGAAGGAGGAGAGAAATACCAATGTGTGAGAGACACATTGATTGCTTGCCTCTCACCACCCCCCCTCCCCGCCCCTGCCCAACTAGTCCCTGGCTTGCAACCAAGGCATGTGCCCTGATTGGGAATCTAACCAGTGAGTGACCTTTCAGTTTTGCAGGATGGTGCTCAGTCTGCTGAGCCACACTAGCCAGGGCTCCAAGGCTTTTTTTGTTTTTTAACCACCTACTTTTTTTTTGTATTACAAAGGATAAAATAAGAGTATGTTTTAAATCACTTTCTCTGAAATTACAGAACTGTGCCATTACTGCTGCCCCTGATTTTAAAGAAGGAACTTATAACAAAATCTACTATTTCCTTTTCTTTCAGTGGTGGGATCAGCAGGTTGACTTTGATACTGCTTTCTTGCACCATTTGGCCCAGTTGGTGCCCGATATTTATTTGGCTGAAATGGACCCAGACTTGGAAAAGCAGGAGGAAAGTATACAAACGTCAATACTCACTCCATTG